TTACCACTCCATGTACTGCAGAGAATGGATTTAAGAATATTGGCATCTGGCCCTTTGATCCACACGTTTTCATTGAAGAATAATTTTCTGCTGTGGACACAACAGGTAGACTACGAATTTTATTCTGAGTCGAGTTTGTAATAGTGGATTAACAACTTCCTCGCATGGCAGCTTAGAAGGTATTTTTCATCCAATCTGCGGTTCTTTCAACTTTCTCCTTCAGACAACAAATAAGCCTCAAGTGATCAAGCCGAACAAACATATTCAACCAATGCTGCAAAATAAATTCCAGTTTAAAACCAGAAGGGGTCAAATGTACCGCACGTCAGTCCAGTTAACATAATGTCTATCCCGGAAGCTGACACCGTATCGGAGGACAAACATTTATTCCGTCAAGACCATATTTTAAGGAGTTAAAATATAAAGTAACTGAACTTTGAATTCAAACAGAGGCAGGTTTGAGGAGGCAGCTGTTTGGAAAATGTAGAACAAAGAGTCCACTCCAGACACGGTCATGAGTAAAGAAACAAATGTCTTGTAGCGAGCTGTTTTCCTGGTCAAAAGCTTGAGAAGTGTTGATTAAATGTTCAGGTTGTATAAAATGGATGCATTGCTCTATATATGCGACATTTGACCTTCAATTACTGCTTTGTTCCTGGGCGTGTCAAGTGATTGTGTGTTTTAGACACACGACTTTTTTCCCTAGCCATGAATCTCGTTCCTACTAACCGCGTATTCTTTCTTCATTGTATCAGGCTTTGCTTATGATATCTCCTGAATTTCAAACGCATATAATACAATTTTATAAATTAAAAATATATAAGTATTTTCACTTACGCGTCATCTGTATTTCAATTTACCTCATAAAGTAAGAATATGCAGAGATTCAAAGAAATTAACTGTTCTCAGTGCTTCCGTAAAAACAAATCAATAAGGCATGAGTCAATACGTAGATATTTTAAACAAACAAAAACCTACTCCATTTTTCCTTCCCCTCCCCTATTCGTCCTTTCTTACAAAATAAAATTTAAATCGTCGATAATCTGTGCGGTATATTTCCACGTGGTGTGGTTTTTCAGTGTCCGGTAGGACGTATTTACAAATTTTCACAGACGGCATAATATTAATAATTTTGTTTATACCCACTTTTTAGAAAATCTTCATTCACGTCGATCTACAGTTCTGATGTCCATAACAAAATTGGGAGAAAAATAAACATAAATTATTCAAATTGTTCGGACGGAGATTTGAAGCGCTGTCCCTTCAGACCCTAAATGCCCAGCTGTGTAGATCAGGAATTTTTTTTCTCCAGTTTTAGGTAATCAGTCAGTCATAAAACTTCCGACATATTCTTTTCTTTTCACACTTTCATCGCCTCAGAGTTCCTCAGGGCAGTCGTTGCTGAAACTCGTACTAAACAGTTCCATCACTACTAATGCCACTGATAGCAGAGAGTTAGGAGTAGAGGCAAATTATATTCTGTAATTGTGAATGTAATTTATGCCAAGTGCTGCACTGTGATGTTTGTTAAACGGGGTCTACGAGTTAGCTCTTCAACCATGCTATTGACTGACTCTATGAATCAAAGATTTTTCAGAAGCTGATAGTCGTTCCTTTTTCAAAAACAGAAAACACTGGTTAAAAATGAACATATTATGCACATATTTAATTATTTTTTTACTCTTTCGACAGTATTGTTCTATAAAATTATTCCGAATATAAATTGTAAAGTTTTTTGGCATTAAAAACGGGAATATTCAGTATTATAAAACCTCATGTGAACATATGCATTTCGTAGTCATCGTTGTACCAGAAAGTTTCCTACAGTTTACTGTGCAGGCCTTGCTAATACAGGTTTCATCCGCTTGTGGTAACGTGTACCACATGCGTCTATCAGCATGTTCGTGACAATCATGGTAATAATAGACTACACATGTTCACAGACTTCACAGCATTCGCCGGCTCTCATTTTGCTCTCAAGCTGTTTACTGTTAGTAAACAGCCACATGATCGGATAGTAACAAGAAAAGTTTGTGGTAAAGAAATCGATAGACAAGTCTTGATTTTGAATGACGCGGTTGGATAATCAGAAAGTTGGGTGTGGGTACGACGTGAAGAGTCGACATGTAGCTTGATGGAGTCTGATATATATGAGTCAGTTCATATTTGTGGTGTGTGAGTTACTTTCTCCGGGACAACAGTGTTGATATTTTGTGTTCCATTGACTTTAACGGGCCACTCCCTTAGTATCATGTGCTAAAACCTTGATCTAAAGTGGTATACCGTGATAAACCGCCATCATCAACACCTGCGAGGTTCAGGCCGTTTAACTTGTTCCTATTTCCGAGTTAGTCGAATGGATTCTTCCATCTATTCAATGTTCGATCTACTTCCCTTTTTCTTCTTGGTGAGCTCCCAAGGAATTTGGAAAGTTGCATTATTAAAATGTTGTATATATTTCCGTTGGTATTCTTTCACTTTTTCTTCTTACTTGAGTATATTTACTTCTTGTCTAATGTCTGTTTATCTCTTTATTCGTTCTTCTGTAACCTGGCACATATCTAAAAAAATCTCATTTCAGAAGATGCAATTTGTTGGAGCTGTTGTTTAGTTAAAGTCCAACATTCATTGCCACATAAGAGAGATGGTACTGCTAAAACTTAATTGAATTTTAAGATTTCTGAGATTTGAATAGTGTGCTTAATTGTTCCGAACCTTTGCAGTCTATTTTGTAGGTCATAATTTCTGTTTTTTGCCCAACAGACAGCTAAAGTTTGTAACCTGTTCTATTATGTAATGTTAATTATTTTATCCCTTATCAACCCTTGAATAAAATTATATTAATCGGCAAGCGTTGGTAAAGACTCCTAATACAAAATAAACTGCAGTTCTTTCATTAAAATTTAAGCTATTAAAAATAAACATAAGAACGGATGGACTTGCTGTCTGTTTAACAAAATGGGATTCACATTGAAGCAACTAGCAACCAGCAAAAGGCGATATGTAATAGATATTTCTTGTAGAAATAACATGCATTGTTTGTCAAGTGTTCACACCGGAACGTAGTTACCTGACGTTTAAAATTATCACTCAGTAATGTACGATATTTGTCTAAAGCAACTTTTCTTCTGTATCGCCTGTCGCTGTGGAAAATCGGAAGGCAGGTGGTTTCTGTAGCGCCTTATTACAGTGGTATTCAACCGGGGGTACGCTAATACATCTTAGGGGGCACGTTAAAATTTAAAAAAAATTATGATAAACATTCAGTAATCAGGGCCAGATTTAATGCATTATTTTGGATGTAATTTATTTAATTTATTTTATATGTAGATTATATACTATGTATAACTTGAATTATACACCAACAACTTAGAAAATGTGAAAATGTAAAATCTCAATCACGATAACGTGCATGAGGGTCCGACGTTTGAACCCAGAGTGTCTCCAATGCAAAGTGGAATTATTAACCTCTCAACTGTGATAAGCTGTAGAACTCTGTGATTGCACTGTCATAACGCTACCAACATTTTGTTTCAATTGGTTTCAGTCTAGGTTTCTTTGTTATCAAGCATTCGTGGTTCACATTAAACCCATTTACGAGACTTAAAATAAACAGTTTGGAAACACTGTGCTAAGTAAATGTAAATAGTCGTATTGAATTCAGATCTCCACATTACTCATTAATATCATCACTAAGAGTGTTCGACTGAGAAGTCTTCCGATACTAGAATTAGCCTTCACCAACATTTGATGAATCAAATTCCGTCTCGGTAGGAGGCTGTATTTTTCCTCATATAGTAGCCGCCACAAAATTGCACGCCTCGAGGCCACGGAAGGACTTCACACTCCTCTAACGCATGGTTCTAAGTCAACTTTGCTAACTTTGCTACGCTGCGACTTCCGATCTGTCTTCACTCGCCTGACCTCCACTCCGCTATTCGTGTTGCAACGTTATAAGATTTTCCTGTGACCCTGGAATATGCAATTTGGTGACGGTTGGCGTATTGTATTGCGACTAAAAATATGCATATACGTTTTATTAATAACAAATTGCTCGACATAATAGAATTGGATATTTTAGTCAGTAAAGTAACGGGACTACTGTCTGAAAGACCGGGTTCACTTCCCGGCAGGGAGTTTTTACTTTTTCCACCGAGGCACATGTTCTGTCAGATGGAAATCAAAGGTTTGTCCGCCGAGAGTGAATGTGGCCACAAGCATCTGGTTCCGAGGTTACGAATGTACGGACCCTTACCTCAATTTATTATTCACGAGTCTTTATGGCGTGTCGCTGAAGCAAAGAGGCAATTCACTGCGAGTACTAATCGAATATCTTTTACACAAACAGTATCAAAATGCTTTAGAAATATAGCAACAGTGCATGGCGTGTCGCTGAAGCAAAGAGGCGAGTACAAACTGAATATATTTTGCACAAACAGTATTAAAATGCTTTAGAAATATAGCAACAGTGAATTTTATAATATCTAATACGTAAGTCCACTGTATTGTGTATTCGGTTACTGTAAATATCGGTATATGAATCTGAATAATTTGAATTCCGACTGGTATATTCGTAGAAAATTTTGTATTTTACTGGTTTCGATTTGTTTCTTTTCCGGTTTTCACTAATTCTACGAACTTGTAATTTTGGTAGACTGTAAAACGGTTTGATTTACTTATGCTGGAATTCTTTTTTACAAATTGTACCAGCCCAATTAAATGGGAGTTTTGGGATATGCTGTAGAAGCCTTTCTACTGAGTATTAGCTTTGTTTACCACCTTCCACTCGGGAATATTCATATACAAATGAAACTTTGGTTTAATAAGGTTAATTGTGGATATCGTGTAGCAATTTACCAATAATGTGCCATCGAATTTGGAGAAAAATAGGAGTCCGGAAATCTTTGCATATACGTATAATTAATCTTACGTGTTTATACGAACGATATATGAAACAAAGATTTTGTTTCAATATCGAAATTACATTTTGTGTGTTTCAGATTAATATCTCAGTCAGCTCCCATAGCAATACCATTCAGAGTGATAGAAGGTAAGCCATTTATTTTTCCAACTTGCTTAATAAAGTAACTTGGCATCAAATATTTTCTCTAAAGAGCATTGCTCTGTTTTCATTTCATTAAAATAATTAATTCTTGCTTTGATGAATGCTTACGTACGAAGCTTTGCAGTCTAAGTTATTTTTAGATTTATTTGTATTCGTTACGCTTTGATTGCCTTTTATAAGCCAGGACGATGTTTATCATGTCTCCAGCTTCAGTTCAAAATAACAAAAATTGTTATAAATTGCTTCTCAACTTGTATCATGAATACAGCTAATGCATAGTATGCCTACTTTTGGCATTGAATGAGAACACAGTAAGCTTATCTCTAATAACGTAAGTGTCACAGTTTTTGAATTTGTGTTGTTACTCTCTGGGCAAGTCTGGATCGCACATTAGAAATATTATCATTTATTTAGATGTGGTCTAGATTCTCAAACTAAACAGTGCAATTGTATCGACGTCCATGAACTCAGGGTGCTTTTAAAAGTCCGTATGCACTTGTAAGAACAACAGATTTTGGAAGTGAACATGGGCTAACACGTCACGTGCGCCACATAGGATGTGTACTTTTAAATCACCATGTGTTAATCAAAGTCATACTAAGAACAGAAGAATAAATAATTCTTTACTGTAATCCTGTGATCGGCAACATGCTACCCTCGGACCGTGTGGCCTTCGCAACATTTTTATGTTGTTCGTCATAATTTGGAAATGGCCCGATCCGAGAAGGACAGGAATTTTGTTTACGCTCAGAAAATTCGATACGTTATATTTAAGTGTAAGAGCAAAAGATGTTTTAATAAAACTTGTTGTAGATAAAGGCCTGTAACATTATAACATCATTCTGGTACAAAAATGTAGTGTTCAAACCACACGAAATTTAATAAAAGGACACCAGATTTACTGGGATATTAATAACCTACGTTCTATAAAAGTAACCATGATTTGAAATCCAGAGTCCCTGAAAGCTAACAAACAACGTATTTACAGTAAACTAATTTGTGTGGATAAATATAGCTATTATTTGTTGTCAAATAAATATGAGCTTTTCTCTTTTACAAGTTAGAGAAATTTTGTTTAGCTTACTGTCAATGATATTTTTATTAATAATTTGTCCCGATGCCCTCGACAAAGATGTCAATATCAACTATGGCGAGCGGTAATCAAATGACTGCCGATCTCTGCTCTAAACAAATAATAGGATACAAGGCAAAAAGATGGAAATTCTGTCGCTTAAAACGCTTACATTATAGATGGTATAGTTGCGTCATATTGTGAAAATATATTTAATTAATTATTCTTGTCAGTCTAATCACAATTTAAAATTTAAAATTAAGATAATTAAAATATCATGTGATGTTCCTATCGAAACATTCGATTTACATTTAGAACATCTTTTTCTTACGACATGTTTCGGTTCTTACTTCTTACTTTCAAATATATTATTTTGTTTCTATCTTCTTTATTCATATTCATTAATATTCATTTGTTCTTTAAATTATTCGCATTACAGGCCGATGTAAGAACATCAACAAAAACATTCACCAAAAATAAAAGTTTACTTAAACACGACGCACATATGTAAAACATATACACATATATAAAAAATGGAATCTGGAAGTGAACATCACTACTAACTGATAAACAACTATAAAAAAGTTGCATATAAGAAATTATGATTAAGTTTTAAGTTTATATAATTTTAATTAATTTTTATACACTTGAAGATGGTTCATTTAAGAACCGAAACATGTCGTAAGAAAAAGATGTTCTAAATGTAAATCGAATGTTTCGATAGGAACATCACATGATATTTTAATTATCTTAATTTTAAATTTTAAAATGTGATTAGACTGACAAGCCTACATTATAATTTACTAGGAAATGTTTATTCTTCTATTCCTTGTTCTATTAGTTGGTCACAGGATTCAGTTCGCAATTACTCTGTGCGAAACCACGTAATTGGCGTGTTTTATTGTATAACTTTATTTTAATGAGATATAACTCAGGCTGATGTTATCAATTTAGGATAGACTTTGTGGAAAGTATTCTAGTGTTAATATCGGTCTCAGGTTACAGAAGTTTCAGCCAGTTAAACACGTATTCGTTGTGAGCCCCGATCATTAGAACTCGTCAACATGTCGGAGACCCACTTACACAGTTTTAAGTGAATTATTCTGATCAGGAATGATATTGATGATGATATAGTTTTTCGCGCCAAAATCCATAATCCCCACCGCCGTGTAAATCTCAAACCTCACAAGCGTGATCCCGTAATTATGAAATATTTTACCCATATATGAATTCGGTTTCATTATTTGAATTTACTGACACATACAATTGTATGCGTCGATAGTCAACGAATGGAAAAGTATGCTTTGTGGTGTGTGTACTATGATTTATTTACTATTAGCTAAATAGCTTGCTCATCAACACGAAGGCACACCCTTCTTTACGGAATGTTGCTGCAAACTTCATACCAGCTAATGGACAGTTTGTAAACTACATTCATTGCATCACTTTATGATAACGTCTGTATTGTAGAAAGTTCGCACGATGCCTGGGGTATAAAGGGGTTCAAGTCGTCTGTATTCCTTAAACTTCCCCAGGGGCTGTATAGATACTAACACACCCGTCCCGTCTCCATGGTTACTAAGCGCTTGGCTCCCATGTTCCTCCTACACCATCGTTCACTAGGTAAATACGTCACACACACCCAAAGGATTAAAGGATTCCGGGTACACTAGAAGGAGCTGCGACATGGGACGTGGAAGTAACGCAGTTCAGTAGGAGTTTAGCGAGTAGCACGCTAACAAACAAACAAACAAACAAAAATAAATATTCAAGCGAAAGGAATAGTGGTCGAGTTTAACATAAAGTTTTGGACAGGGATGTTAACTTTCTCTGGATGCATAAAATGCGGGCTTTGCTCCTGTGAAACATAGACGTATTTTGGTGGACGCAGAACTGGTGCTGTGGTTGGGATCTCATTTCCTTACATTAACTATGCGGCTGAGAATATGTATGTGAGATATGCGGTTCTCACGGCGGCGGGTTTGAAGATGGCTGTTCTCTGGGTTTTGGAAGTTTGCCGACGTTCCAGGGGTGCTTGTGGCCTCCGTCATAAAGGCGGTTGGTCTTCAGAATACTTACATTTGTAAAACATGCGTGTGTGTGTGTGGAAGATACCAGATTCGAATACCAGCCGGTATCAGATATCCTCTTTGTTACCGAATACGGTTTCCCAATCATACAAGGCAAACCTCAGGGTGGTACGTATACCAGAATTTTTCAAATGTCTGCGTCTGAAGCATTGGTAAAAAAAAACGTGACGGAGAGAAAACTAGTGACCTCTAACCTATGCACTGAGACGATATTTGTCAAAGATTATTAGAACGAAGAAAATAAAGAAAAAGGAAAATCATATTAATATAGAACGACATGTCTGTTGTTGTTGTTATGGTGGCTTGGCATTTGTTTTCCGACTACATGGCAAGTGATGAGTTTTACGCATTCTTTATAAAATGTATGTAAGACGCACAGGTGATAATGAGATAGTCGCTGACACTTCTGTGAGCTGGTTTCATCTCGGACATTGCTTTACTGACAAATAAGTTCAATTAAAGTTGGTATTGTAGGGGAGCTATAGTAATGCTGTCTTTCGAATTTAATTGCTTTCATGTCGATCCAACAGGATGATAAATGTTTGTGATGCAGTTTATTCCTGACATATGTTCTGTTTGTCAAAAAAAATAAGTTACATTGAAATAATAAACCAAAAAACAATGTTGTATTAAATGTTCACTGCGTCCAGATTATCGTCAGTTAACACCGAAGGGTCCACCGGAACGGTTTCTGTTACATGCAAACGGTTCGTCAGACGATTTGTGTGGCACAGGAGATTCGGGAAATTAACCCTAAACTCATCCTGGTAAGTTAATTAAGAACGAGGCGTCAGGTAATGTTCGACAATCAGCACTCGTTGCACTTGTGAAAAAAAGATATCTTTTCACTTCGTCTGTTGAAAGACAAATAACGGATTGGAGCAGGCTATAATATGAAGTGACCTGCGTCGGCTCTTGTATAGTTGTGGGAGGATATTGTGTGTTCATTAATTCAAACTAAATGTATTGAACTGCAACTATAAATAAATATTTTAATGTGGTTTGCGTGACTTTCGTTCAGCTTATGCAACATATATATATATATATATATATATATTAAACATTTTAGAGTTTGTAGATAGCCTTGCAACTATAATTTCGTATCTGCGGCAATAAATTTGTGCTTAAAATTCAGTCAGGTGTGCGAATTCTTAAAAAAAGGAAGGCATTTGGAAAATGTTTACTCTTTATAGTGCAGCAAACATTTACACATTTTCTTCATACAATTTTGAGTAGTGAATAACAAATTACTGTCGCGACGTAAAAAACAATTGCCATTACGAAGTAATTCCCACTCGTGTAGTTGCCAGTGTGTTCTAATAGGATCATCTACAGAACATACGAGGTGCGATCGGAAAGTTTAAAGACTGTGTCAATAGCGGGCGAACCGGATGTAGTACGAGCTTCTGCCTGTAGGGGGTGCGGCCTACATTCATAGTGAATCAGTGTGCCAGCCGGCATCATCGAATTAGCATTTGTTTCTTAGTTACGGGCGTTTTGGTAGTGCATTACACCGACCCTCCTGCGATTTCGGAATGGCGGATTTTCATGAACAAAT